ACAAATCTAAGAATACCTTGTTTACAATATTGTTTGATTTTGAGCAAAAAAGGTGCTAATCTAACGGTAACACACACAAAGGACAGTAACTGCATGTAGACAGTTTTCTGATTTAAGGTGCATGAAAGAGAGCTACTACATGTGGACTGTTTTTTCCATTAAGACACACAAGTTATAGCTACAACTTGTGGACTTTCCTGATTTAAGACTCATGAAGGAGAGCTACTACATGTGGATTGTTTTCTGATTTAAGGTGCATGAAAGAGAGCTACTACATGTGGTTTGTTTTCTCAATTAAGACACACAAGTTATAGCTACTACTTGTGGACTTTCCTGATTTCAGACACATGAAAGAGAGCGACTACATGTGGACTGTTTTCTGATTTAAAACGCATGAAGGAGAGACGCTACATGTGGACAGTTTTCTGATTTCAGACACATGAAAGAGAGGGACTACATGTGGACTGTTTTCTGATTTAAGACTCATGAAGGAGAGCTACTACATGTGGATTGTTTTCTGATTTAAGGTGCATGAAAGAGAGCTACTACATATGGTCTGTTTTCTGATTTAAAACGCATGAAGGAGAGACACTACATGTGGACAGTTTTCCGATTTAAGACACAAAGTAAAGTTACTATTTGTGGACTGTTTTCTGATTTAAAACGTGTGAAGGAGAGATATTACGCGTGGACAGTTTTCTGATTTAAAACACATGAAGGAGAGCTACTACATATGTTACTGTTTTCTCAATTAAGACACACAAGTTATAGCTACTACTTGTGGACTTTCCTGATTTCAGACACATGAAGGAGAGCTGCTATGTGTGGACTGTCTTCTTACTTAAGAAACAGGAAGGAGAGCTATTACATTTGTACTTTTTTCTGATTTAAGACACACAAAGGAGAGTTATTACATGTGGACTATTTTGTGATTTAAGGGACATAAAGGAGAGCTACTTTATGTGAATTGTTTTCTGACTTGAGATACACGAAGGAGAGTTACTACATGTGGACTATTTTCTGATTTAAGATAAATGAAGGAGAGTTACTACATGTGGACTTTTCTGTTTTAAGAAGCATGAAGGAGAGATACTATATCTGAAGTGTTTTCCGAGTTAAAATCAATAAAGGAGAGTTAGTACATGTGGACTTTTCTGATTTAAGAAGCATGAAGGAGAGATACTATATCTGAAGTGTTTTCCGAGTTAAAAT